AAAAATTTAGTTTTTGATAGAAGTAAATTTTCTTGTCTTGAGAGAATTTCTCTCTTGCTCCAAAAAATTAAATATAGAGATAGAAGTAAATTTTCATTAATATTTTTATTGATTAACATGTCAAATGGAAAGATCAAATAATATTTCATCATTTTTTTTCATTCAATATGTATAATTGCAAGCTAAAATAATATAAAATGGGTATCAAATATTCAAGAGAAAAATTTTCTTAAAGTGAGAAAATTTTTTTCTCAGCTGAAGTAAGTGGCGCTGCTTTCCTAAAGTATCCAAAAATCTTGATCAAATATAAAAATTTATTGTATCAAGTATTTATGATAGAATTAAGAAAAAATGACTTCCACCAAGAATAGAATTTAAAGAAAAATTTTTACTTTGGCCAACACAACTTTAGTCTTCCTTCAAGGACTTGAAAATTTTCTTAAGCCAAGAATTTTGTTCTCCAGTCAAGAAATTTTTCTTTCGGTGCAATATACAAAAGGAACAGTATTAACAAAATTATACTACAAGATTGTTTTAAATCAAGCTAAGAATTTTTTATAAAAATTCTTGGTTCAAGATTTTGAGTCAAGTTAATTTTTTTATGTGAACCTTTAAAAAAATTGATGTCTGTGTGATATCTATCAATAATAAGAACCAATATTCTGTTTCTTGGACTATTAATAACATAGTTTTTATTAAATTTAGTTGTTTTCAATAATCGATTATGCCTAAGGTTAAGATTCTTTTCGATTAACTCGAAGCTATCTAGTAAATCGGGTACTTCAATTTTTTATTTTTAATATTTCATAAAATATCAAGACTTAGAAAAATAAACGTGAAAAATTTTTAAAGGAAATTGAATTTTCTGTAAACAATTTTTTTTTTATTTTTAAAAAAATGTTTTAAAAATAAAAATTTAATTTTAATATAATTATAAATAAATCCGTCAAGTAAATTGTTGAACGATGTCACAATAAATCAATCGTTAAACCCTTTTTTGTCACTTTATATTTAGAAGATTTTTATTTTTAACCCTTAAAATGTTAACAAGAAAAAAACTATTAAAATTTTTATAAATATCTTGGTGACTAATTTTTTTTTATAAATATAATATTTATTCCATAAAATTAATTGGTTTTTTTTCTACAGATTTAAATATTTTGTGAGAAAATAAAAAAAAATGTTTTTAAAAAAATCTATAAAGCGCCTGCAAGAATTTAATTTTTAACTGCATTGTATGTATGAATTTATTAATTGAATTATTTTAAAATTCAACGCAAGTTACAACAAGCTCGATGTGGGTTATTATTCCATTCAATCTGAAATTTATGAAATATTAAAACATGAAAGAAGGTAAAGCGGAATAATACTTCTATAATATTCCTGTAAGATATTGTATAATCGGATTAATATCTGATAAAATAACCGTAAGACGGTTAAAAAGATTTAAATAGTACGTGAACTTAATCTGAATATAAATCTCTAACAAATGGTTGTATATTTTCCAGGTGCAGTGAAACTCTTTGAAGTTTTTTTTATCGAAACTTCGGTAGAAACTCTGCTACACTACAAATTAACATTAACGACGCTTCACTCGGATGCTGATGCTCCAGAGCCGGTGTTGTCGCAGGCAAAAGAGCGACAAATTGCATAATTCCGCGGTTAAGCTTTAAAATTAAACTTGGAACTTTTCACCTCGATTTTCACCAGCATTTCCGCGGCTTAAACACTAAATATTTCACTTCTTGTCTATCTACTACTTTCTTAACTATTACGACGGTAGACTCAGCTTGGGATACTCCAGGCGGTTCTTCAGCTTCGTTTCTATATTTCTTCGACAACTCGAGGCATGATTATTCTCAGTGATTCAATTACGGTGATGGGAATAAATTTACTAACTTCAATGCACTACTTAGCAGTGATAACTCAAGACAGTTTAAGTTAATCTTCTGTTTTTTTTAAACTACCATTTAACATTAATAATTAATTAAGAACTAGCAATCTTGCGGTCACTATGTGACCGCTGTGACTTGTGAATTATAAATTAATAAAATTTTGCTTTATTAAATAATGAACTTTGTTTAATTGCAATGTACTTTCTTAAATATTGACGTTTTTAAGAATATAAGCTCATTCCGATGTTACACTCATCAAGACCTTTCATTTGAGTACCCACATGCATTTTTAATATATTTTTCATATATACATATATATAAATATATAAAAAATATATGAAAAATTGATATGGGTACTCAAATGAAAGGTCTTGATGAGTGTAACATCAAGATGAGCTTATATTTTCAAAAATATCATTAGTTGACAAGATAGCAGTCAGTTCTAAAATAATGACATTTTTCAAGATATAAGCTCATTCCGATGTTACACTCATCAAGACCTTTCATTTGAGTATTTACATCAATTTTTCATATATTTATATATATTATAAATATGTATATATGAAAAATATATCAAAAATGCATGTGGGTACTTAAATGAAAGGTCTTGATGGGTGTAACATCGGGATGATCTTATATCTTTAAAAATGTCAAGAGTTCACGAGATATAAGATCATTTCTTAATTATGTATCTAGAAATAGAGCATTTTAAAATGCAACCTAAATACTTATCATAATAAATTGACTAGTGAGAATGAAATGAAACTTTGAAAAAGCACAAATTCAAATCAAAACCTTTGCAATGACACTAAAGTTCACTAAAAAAAAATAATTTTATAACATAACTATCCTGGAAACAAAATTTTCCTTATCCTCTTAATAATATAGCTTATCAACACCATTTGACAGCAATTTAAAATTAAAAATTACAGCAATTACAATAACAAAATAGTGAAGACATGTTGAGCGTGTAATTAATCTATTAAACAATAATTTAACGTTGAGTACCTCGCGATAAAGCGAGTAAATAACAGCGAATATTATTAATAGAGTTAAGCACGCTTGTGACTTAATTAAATGCACTTTCATGATAGCCGATAATTTTTTACGCAGTATCGCTCGGTTGTCTTATATAATTTGTAAAAGCTGATCACCGACACGCGATACTCTCGTAAAAATTAAACTTTATAGTAGCAAAGCTGAGAGCCGGGAGTTGGGAGCCGATAGCCGATAGCCGATAGCCGGGTTGTATCCTACATCCTACGTCCTACAGGAGTAGGATGTACACCAGCAACCTACTCGAGGTTCACGTACAGCAAGTACCAACAGTAGTTCGGTATATCGATCCCAGGAATAGAGGACGATCAATCGTGCATCAGGAGTCAGAAGTTACCTTACTTGTCTCGGTATAAGATCT